CCAGCGGCCCCACGGGTGACCTTGGGCGCGTCCCGGGCCTGAGCGCGCCGGCCCTCGGCGTGCCCCGCCGACCCTCTTGCCGGCCTGCCCTTGCAGGGGCTCTGCCCCCGGTGCGAGGTGAGGCGTCCCGGCCTTGGCCGGGGCGACGGGACTAGGGCGGGCTCGGGGCAGCTGCGCGGGTGGGACGAGCAGGCTGCCTGCCCCCGGCGACCAGCGCTGTCTCCTGTTGTTCAAGGGCTCCTCTCACCTGCCGCAGCAGCTAAAGTTCACGACCTCTGACTCCTGCGACCGCATCAAGGATGAGTTCCAGCTCCTGCAGGCCCAGTACCACAGGTATGTGCTCCCGTGCGCCACTGGGCCCGGCCTGGGTCTGCCCCGCAGCCTCCGCTGGGCTGGCAGGCAGTGGCACGACATGCAAGAATCACTCTGATTCTTCTGCTTCGTTGCTTCACTGTGCTGTGCGGAACACCAAGGAGGGGACCTGGTCACGTAGCTTAGGTCACCTTTGGCTAGAGGAGGACCTAAGTCAGGGGATTAGTTGCGTCCACTTCGGAGCCCAGCGAGGAGAACATGTGTCTTCCCTCTCCAGCCAAGGTCTTTCCTCTAAGCACTGCTCAGCCAGGACTGTGCGGAGGCTTGCCAGGCCTCCCGTGTCTTGCTGGGAGTTTTCCTCGGTTCTTCTTGCTGGCTGCCATTCTTGGACGGCGAATGCTGCAGGGAGCACTTAAATCCAAAAGCTTCTGCTTTTCTGTGGGTGTGTGTGGAAATACTTTTGCTGACCCGAAAGCTGGCTTGTGACAGTCTGTTGCTTTGTGTGTGTGCGTATCTGAAATAAATGTGAAGCTCTTGGGTTAAATCGACTGGGTGATGCCCTCTGCCGTGGCCTGGCAGGCTGTGAGGCACTGTCTGTGGCGTGTGCCTCGGTGCCATGCAGCTGCAACTTCCCTGTCTGCCTTCTCCCAGCCTGGGCTCTGCCGGGTGGCTGGGTCACAGGTTTGCGGTGGTGTTGTTCTGGCAGGAGCAGGCAGAAAAACTGCTGGGAAATGGCTATTTCCTGGTGTCCCCATGTCTCTGGGCAGTGCCAGCAAGGGAGTAGGGGAGCCCAAGAAACATGCCCGCTGGAAGAGAGGCTGTCCTCCCACTCCACCCCCTTGGACTTAATCTGCTCAAGAAGCAGGTTTTGTGTAGGTGAAGCTGTTTCTTGTTTGAAACATAAAACCACAGCACATGCTGGCTGCAGTTGCTCGGCTGGTGAGTTGGAGTCTCGTAAAACACTGGGAGCAGCAGCACTTTCTCTGAAGGGTGTGAAGAACCTAGGGGAGAGAAAAAAATCCTTTCTTCTGGAGGGATGTGCTGCACTTGGGCCTCCCCACCACCATCCAGAAATAGATCTGGCTTTGGTTTTGAAGTTGTATTGGAGCATCTCTTGAGTGCTGCAGACAGGCCCATGCTAGAAGCTGTCCGCAGCTGCCAGCAATCAGCTGAGGAAAGGCAAAACCCTCCCTGGGCAGCCACCTCTGCTTCTGCCCAGCTTTCTGCTTCCTGCCGAAAGGATTTGCCTGGGGGAGGTTGATGTCTAGCTGGTGGGTAGCCTTGTGCTGCTTCTCCTGAATATGTTGGTGGGACTCTGGCTGGGAAGGTAGGAGCAGGCTCTGTTGCGGTCGCTACTGTGCCAGCACAGCGTGGCCCAGCTCCGACCACCCCTTGGAATCTGGATGGTGGTATCCAAGAACCCAGCTTGGCCAGGATGGGGCTGCGCAGGAAGCAGCTGCTCCGTGACGATCAACTCTCTCACCTCCTGTTTGTGGTTTTCTTACTGTTTTCTGGCTTTTCAGCTTGAAGTTGGAATGCGACAAACTAGCCAGTGAGAAATCGGAGATGCAGCGTCACTACGTCATGGTAAGGACTGGCCCTGGCAGCTAAGAGCACGTGGGTGGGGACGCCAGCGGTGAGCAGGTGCCTGTGCCTGGGTTTTGGCTGGCAGGGAGCCTTCACCCTGTGGAGTGGCAGGTCTCTAGGCAAGGCTGGCATTGGCTTTTCTGAAAGCGGGGCTTTTTATATTTCGTGTTGTCTGCATGCAGTGGATTGTTGAAATGCAGGGAAGTAGCAGAGAATTGTTGGACATAGAAAACTGATGGGCCCAGTGGCTGATTGCTTGATGGGTGGTGATGAGGTCCTTGGCCTTGCCGCTGGCTGCTTGACCATACTCCCTGTGCCCTGGGGGAAGTGACAGCTCTTACGCACCTGAGAAGGAGCTGCAGGGAGCTGGTGTGCAGGCATCTGGGGACTTCGGGAGAGTCATGGCCAGTGAAAGACAAAGCAGTGCTCTGAGAAGTCATGAAGCTGGGAAATGTCACAAGCCTGGTGGGAGTTGGAAGCAGAAACCAGCTGCTGTGTGAGAGCTAAATCCTCTGCACCTTCTCGTGACCCCAGCAGCCTTGCAGAGCCGCGGTGCAAAGTGCTAGCATGTCTCACAGGTGCATGTGTCCCAGCACAAAGTGTGCAAATCCCAGGGCAGTGCCTGGTAAAGGCATGAGACATAGTGCCACACGCGGGCAGCAGGCTTAGCCATAACTCTCTAAAGAGAAATCCGCCAGGAAACAGCCATGTTCTTGTAGGCAGGGTGATGGTTTGCCTACCAGGTAATGCCTCTGTCTTCCCACACATGGAAGAGCCCTTGTAGCAGAGGGGAGGGATGCCAGGCAAGGCTGTTGTCTGTTCCTTTTCTATCAAGGAGTTAACAGGAGGTTTTGATACTGTCCATAAAGATGAGGTGGTGCCTGCTTGCCAGCTGCTGCACCTGCCCTGGAAGGAAGAGATAAGGTGTAGAAATTAATACAGCAGCTCTTCAGAGGAGAGTTAGGGCTTTAAAACCAGAAATGAGGGAGCTGGCCCCTCCATCCTCCTGTACTACCCGTGCGTCCAGACTCCGAGGCTGTGGGGAGCAAGGCGTGCTTGGGGCTGGGACCAAGGAGAAGAGATCACAGCTTTCCTTGTATATTAATGCGGAAGCCTGCCCATTCTCACTGATAAACGATTGCTTCCTGGGCCTTGCAGCCTGTATGGAGACTCTCATCTCCAGGTGCGGCTGAGATTTTTTTTTTTCCCCCCCCTTAATGCTGACAGTCACCAGAATTGATTCAGGTTACCGTCGGCGGCAGAGGGGAAGGGCTATTGCTTGTTGTGCAGCACTTGAGGCTTTACAGGCGCAGCAGCTCCTGCCTTGTCTGCATGGCTGAGCTGGAGTCGCACAGAGCTGCTGTCGTTCCCCACCACAGCGAGTCACAGGAAGCAGAGAGGAGGGTTTCTGTGAATGTGCAAAGCTGCTACAGCTGCTCCAATTTTTGAATAAGTCACAATTAGCAGCTTGGGGTCGAGCTCCTGCTTCCTGCTCAGTCTTCAGAATGCAAAGAAGCCTCGAGAGCCAGCAGTGGTGTTAGAGCAGGCTGAGATCGTGGCGATACCAAGCTGGGCGCTTCTCAGACTTGTGGTGTCGGTACCAAAACGCCAGTGATCATCTCCTTGAATTAAATGGGCGCAGATGTGGATTTTTCTTTCCCTTCGGAAGAATGAGAATTGCAGCCTGCAAGCTGAGGGAGGAGATTTCTAAACTCTCAAACATCAGCCTTAAAACAGCTTCTTCCAGGGGTCAGGAATTAGCTTCTCCTGCCAATAGATTGCACTGTAGCTGCCTGTTGCTGCTGTGCGGGGGTTTTCTGGGTGGGTTTTTTTGCGTGTGGCTTTTTTTTCCACACAGCTTCTTCCCAAACAGCTGGAGCTGTGTGCAGCTGGATGTGTTACTTGCTAGATGAAGCCCAGTTGTGATCACTTCCATTTGCTGCTGAAGCAGCCATGCGGGCTTTAGGATATTGGCCAGGCAATGCTTGTAGAGTCAGGCTGCCTCTCTTTTGGCTGTGGATATCGAAGTCTGTGGAGCCCTGAGGGTTTTTTTTCCAGGTTTGAAGCAGCATCACTCACTCTCACCTTGTTGCAGACTGCTGAAAGGTGTCTGTGAGGGGTGTTGCATGGGGCCCAGTCAGCAAGTTCCCAGGTCTCTGTCTGCAGCAGTGTGAGGCTGGAGCAGGGTGGGCAGGGAGCACCTGGGCTTGGTGCTTCTGCCTTAGACCTGGAGAGGGTCTCTGTGTTTGCCTCCTGCTCTCTTTGTTTCCTAGGGCCGGCTTCTTCTCTCCTTCCATCCTTGCCCAGCCTTTGTAGAAGACCTTGCTAGGAAAGCAGTAGTAGTTCCCAGCACTGCTGTATGGAGCCTCTTTACCTGATGGAGACTTGACTTACAATTTCTTTTGTTCTCTTCTCCCCCACTCTACAGTATTACGAGATGTCCTATGGGCTGAATATTGAAATGCACAAACAGGTAGGGGGAAGGCATTTCCAAGTGCTCTAATTCCTGGGGAGGGTGGGTTGTCTGCCATGCTTTGCCCTCTGCCCACCTTTGCAGTGGTATTTCGGGAACTAGAAGTGCCATGAGCCTGTAAAATGTCAGAGCTGCCTTCAAAATGCAGGGACCCCCCACCTCTCTGGATCGCATTGCCGGACTGAGGGCTCCCACCCTGGGCTGCAGGCATGCTCTGGTTCTCCCCAGGGCCTGAACAGATATTTAAGCACTGAACAAGACAGTGCAGGCACGGTGTGGAGCTGTGGCTGAGTCGGTCAGCAGATGTGAGCCCAGGGTGGAGGGCAGAAGATGACCCCGTGTCCCTCCCAACCCTCCTCCCAGGCCCCAGGTGGGTTTCTGGCCCTGCCACCTTCCCCAGTATCCAGGAAGGTGGGATGTAGTTGGGCCAGAGAGCACTTCTCTTAAGCTGTGATTAGGTAATACGATGGCAGACCTTCTAAGAAAGCCTCCTTGTGATGGACACTGCTGCAGCCTGGATAAGTTTGTTCAATACCCCCACTGGTGGTGCTGTGGTTTAACCCCAGTTGGCAATTAAGTTGTTAATTATCCCCAGTGGCTAATTACCTGTGCTGTTAACAACATGAGCCTCCTCTGAGCCTGACTCTATCTGGCTTCAGCTTCCAGTCACAGAGTCATCTGTGTGTTGTGGCTCAGTTATAAGCCTCTTAGCACAATTCTGCTCCCCACAAAGGCACTTGGTGCCTCCAATCCCATCGCCCTCGTTGGTAAGCCCACGAGACTGGCTTCCCTGGGAAAACCTGCATCATGGTAAAGGATCTGAGCCGTGAATCCTCACTGCTGTCTCATGAACTGTCTCCCAGTCTAGTCCGCTCCCATGTGGTGCTGGTGGGGTCCCCTTGGCCGGTTTTGGTGCATGCCTAAACCCTTGGGCTCTGTCTTTTGACTCCATTGGGAAGTGATTTGCAAAGGGCTGGTAGCTTTACTCTTTCCCAGGAGAAAAGCATTTAACACCCCAAAACTTGCCACCTGCTTGTATGAGGCTAGCGAAGAAGCTGCCCAGTCCCTGTGGTCTCCCTGAATAGCCCCAGTCCTGCACCTCAGCCACAGGGAGGCTGGCAGTGGGCAAACACTTACCTTTGCGGAGCAGGAGTCCAAGGAGGCTGAGCAGCTGGTCTCTGGGGCAGAGCGGGGGTCTCGGCGGTGGCAGCACATGTGTCTGTGCCCACATAGCAAATGTAATTCAACACATCCCCACCTGGGTCTATAATAAGTTTCCTCTCTGGTCACTCCCGACTTCGTTAAATGAATGTCGGAGACCGGGAGAGGGAAGAGAATATTGAAAATCAGCTCTTCGCAGTCAGCAGCATTGATTCATTTAACTATGTAGGGAGGGGCCTTGGGGGTGAGGTGACCCCCCATGGCACCAGGACACTGCCAGCATCTTTCCAGGAGGAGTGTGTTTTCTTAGGGCTGTTCAGGGACTTGGGCCCTGCCTGGGGAAGGGGAAGGTGGGGCAGCCTGTGCTGAGGGTAGTCAGTCCCAAGCTGCCTGATGCCTTTTCTCTCCATTCTTCCCACCTTCTAGGCTGAAATCGTCAAGAGGCTAAATGGGATTTGTGCACAGGTTCTGCCCTACCTTTCGCAAGAGGTGAGTCACCCAGCTTGGCCTCGGCTCTGGCTCAGGGGCACGTTGGCAGGGGGGAGCGGAGGCCCCTGTCCCACTGCGGGGCAGCGAGGCGCCATGGCCTTCCCACGTGGGCAGCTCCTCGCACCTGGTCTGGGAAACCTTGTCACTTGCTCTCAGCCCCTGTGCAGGGACAAGCCCTTCAAGACAAGTTTGGCCTGGAGGCCTTTGAGCAGCCCCCCCAAGTGCTGTGCGGTGGCTAATGTGCCTGTCCATGCCCTTTGTTGACGGCTGTGGACCGCTCTGTTCTCTCCTGCCCATGATTCCTGAGTCATTGGCCACTTCTGCATGGGTGGTGGGAGCTTTGGGCAGCTAATTGGGGGAGGGGGATGTTTAAAAAGAATACCTCCATATGGCTTCTCCTTGAGATCTGGTTCCTCTGTTTCATTAATTAATGCAGCTGATAGGCTCCTCCCACTCCCCTGAGAAATTAATTGGGAGTTGCTGCCTGAGGCAGGAGGAAGGTGAAGCACCTCTAGTGCCGTATCTGTCCATCTCCCCACACAACCCCACAGAGGCTAAGCTCCATGGCTGTTCTCATGGTTGTTTTTTTGGTCAGGACTAGCTGTGGGATAGAGGCTGTGTTTCTCGGTCTGGGTTAACTGTGGGGTTGAGGGACAGGCTGTGTTTTTTTTTTCTCACCCACCTGTTCTCGGGGAAGACAAAGTGGCTTGCTGATCAGATCAGAGCTGCCTAATAACTAAGCCATGACTAAACCTTTTGCATCTTAATGCAACCCCTTCCCCCTCCCCAACCCTGTCCTGCTGCCAAGATGGAAAGAAAAATCCACTTGCTGGAGTGCAGTGGACAGGCCTGGTGTTCGGAGACCTTGTGCTCTCAGAGGAGCAAGTAGAGTTGTCTTTTATTTTTTAAAGTATGTGATACAGCTGTTTTTCCTGCCTGTGTTTGGAGCAGCCATGCCGGGCTCTTCCACAGCAGCATCTTCCAGCTGCTGCAGGTGGGACCCGGGATGTGTCCCAAGGAGTGGGGAGCTTCCCAATAGCTTCTGATTTTAGGGCTTGTTTTGTTTGTTGGGGGTCTTGTTTTGTGTCAGGTCTGGGTAGGTGAGAGGCATTGCCCACCTTAGAGTCCTTCTGGCCAAGGATCGCTGAGCCTGTGCAGAGCAGGACAAGGATGGAAGTAAGAGGGGACCTGCTTAACCCTGTGGTGAGGAACAGCAATGAGACAAGCGTGCCTCCTTCCCTGCTCCTCACTACTGTTGGGCCTCAGTGGTGTAAGGTCCTTGTCACAAACAAAGTGCGTGCAGGTGTCTTCGGCTGTGGGGTTAACCAGCCTGCCTCTGTGCCCTGACATCTCGGTGCTAGCAGCTGCAATAAAGTACATGTGTGTGTCAGATCCAGCAGGGCTGGGTCCCTGTTCTCCTTCCCTGTGATGATCAGAAATGACCCTGAATTCCTCTGTTCTCTCCACACCAGCATCAGCAGCAAGTCCTGGGAGCCATTGAACGAGCCAAGCAGGTTACGGCGCCAGAACTGAACTCCATCATCCGTGTACGTGATGCATGTTTAGTTTGGGTTTGGAGGGATGTGAATCCGTGCCTTTGGCCTTTGAGACAGAGCTGGGCAGGGGAGTCATGACCTGGGGATGTGCCCTGCATGCTGGGAGCAGGCTGCTCCATGTGCAGTGCTGCAGCCCTGCTGGAATGAGGCTGTGAGTGCTGGGCTGGCCCTGCTGGCATGGGCCTAATTTTGTCCAGACTTGTTATGATGTGGGCATGGGTTTGCAGGGGAGCATGGATTCCTGCTCCATCCCAGCAGGGTGCAAGGAGAGGAGCCTTGGTTTTGAGCAGGAACCGCAGCAGCTCCTTGACATGAAAACATCCTCTGTTCTTGGTCAAGGTTGGGAGGGCTTTAACTGTATCCTTGGAGCATGCCAGAGTCTGAGGCTAGATGTCCTGTGGGCTAGGGACTGTGTGTCATGCTGGGGACACGCTGTTGAGTCTTCTCTTGAGGCTGTCACAGCCCAAGGACTCTAGAATCTTTCTTCTTTTTTTTTTTTTCTTTTTTTTTTTTCCTTCCCCTGAGGCTGCAGTGCTCTCCAGGACCCTGAGGTCCCTGGTTTAAGCTTGGCTGCTGGCGCAGTCTGTCTGGGCAGCCCAGGCCCTTGGGTTGGGGTCCAAGTGCACTCAAAATGACAATATCCCTCTCTTGTCTTCCTGTCTGTCCATCATTCTCTACAGCAGCAGCTTCAAGCTCACCAGCTGTCGCAGCTCCAAGCCCTTGCTCTGCCTCTGACTCCGCTCCCCGTGGGCCTCCAGCCCCCATCCCTCCCTGCTGTCAGCGCTGGCACTGGGCTCCTCTCACTCTCGGCCTTGGGCTCCCAGGCTCACCTCTCCAAGGAGGACAAGAATGGCCATGACGGGGATGCCCACGGGTTAATGCAAGATGCAGTATCTCTCTCAAGTTGCTGCGCAGAAGAATTGCGGGGGCTTGTGTTTGGTGGCAGCTTGCCAGGCCTGTTCCCATGGGCAGCAGTGCCTGGGGGATGCCCCCACCGCCATCCCAGCAGACGGGCTGCTCCGCAGCAATGCAAGCGCCATAGCAGTAACCATGTGGCCGATTGTGCTCTCCCTGTGCCCAGCCTGGCTTCCCTGCTCCACAGCAGAGCCGAGCCAGAGCCTGGCTTGGGCTGCTCTGGGGCTGCTTGCCCCCCGGCTGTCCCGGCTCCTCGGTGCCGCGTGGCTCCCCTCTGCCTGCCGCTCCCCCCTTGGTATTTAAAGATGCCCCTTGATCCTAACGGTTTCTGCACAACTCCCTGCTGGGATCCCTGCCCCAAAACCATCTCCTCCCTCCCCAAGCGCTCTTGATCTCGTTGCATCACCCCGGCCCTGTCCCTGTCCTCCCCACGCCCCTCCTGCACTAATACCAGGCCGGCACTTTGCTGTTCTGCATGTATCTGTTCTTGACCAGTCCCGCGGCAGTACAATACGCTCTGGCTGCCAGGATTTCTCCTCGGCTGCTCCTTGGCCTTGGGCTGGAGGGGGAGCCTCCACCACCTGCTCCCCTTTGGCATAGCACCCGGCTTTGGGGGGGTTCAGGTGGCTGGGCAGAGGGGCAGGCAGACTGAGAGCCCTTCCTGGTCCTCCCCCTCCCTGTGCCCCTGCCCCCATGTAGAGGATACAGCAGCTTTCTCTGTTCTTATCTCCGTGCGCTAGCGTGTCTTCTAAAAAAAAAAAAAAAGGAACAAAAAAATAATAAATAATAATCTGGTGTTTGTATATAGTCCTTTAGAAAGATCTTGTTTTGCTTTTTGTGTTTAATCACTTGACCTATAATAAGAGGAACTGAAAATGCTGTATCAAGGACGTACAAGCTGTGCCTTTCAAATAAAGAAATAAGAAGGTTGGTTAAAACTGTGACTTGCTGCCTGCTTTCTTGCTGCCTTTGGGATGACTTTAAAATACTTCCCTTCCTCTCCTGTCCCCCCGGATAGGGGAAATGGTGGGGGAGAACAGGTAGCTTTGCTGGATAACCTTGGACTCTGCCTCAGTTTCCCCATGTGCTGTCACGGCTCCCAGCAGGCTGTGGGAGGTGTCTGGAAGAGGTGCCCTCCCTCCTCCAGGTGAGCATGTCCCAGACCAGTCCCTGCCTTACCTGGTGCGATGCGCTGCCCTTTTTGGGGGGGGGGCTCTCTCTAGAGGTTTCTCTGTGAGTCAGGAGGAGGGGGGGTTAACGTTGAGACTTCTGGTTCTGGCTTCTCTCCTGCTCTTGTCTCCACAGCTGCTGGCAGAACGAGGACCGTCTTTGCTGCCTGCATCCTGCTCTGGGATGCGATCCCTCCAACAGGCGGCCTTGCGAAGCCGCATGCCCACGTCGGAGCTTTGGCTGGAGTCTGCTGAAGCCAGGGCAAGGAGTACACCTGAGCAAAGCCAAAACAAACTGCAGAGCTAGGCAAAAGCAGGCGGTAGCAAAAGGGACCTGGGAGCTCTCCGTCTGAAAAGCAAGAAGGGCTGGAGTGAAGTGCCTATAGCGGCTCTCTGCTGGAGCAGGAGTGGCATGGTTTGGTAACGCATGGCAATGGTCCCTGTGGGCTGCCGCAAGTTTGCTCTGCACGTGCATAATTCATTTTTCCTGTGGGTGCAGAGGATAAGCTGCTTCTGTGGCCCCTCTGGAAAATCTGGCCTGTGTTGCCCTGGGGCTGAAATTGCTGTAATGGAATTGGCTCTCAATAATTAGAGCCGTCCTCTGGCTTCAGAGCCTGCTCTGCCCTGATAACATCTTCCCCTCTGTATCTCCCAGGCCAGCTGGAGTGGGAAAATTTCCTGGGAAGGAAGCTGTGTTGGCGGGAGGGGGTGTCTCGATGCCCCTGGCTGTCCACTGAGGTCAGAGGACTGTGGTGGTGCAGATGGGGGCCCTGGTGAAAGCCAGAAGGGGAGCAGCAGCCACTGTGCCTGTCCTGCTGGTGCTGGGCAAAAATCAGGCCAAATGCCCGAGGGTGGGATTTGATGGGATTTGCTGAACAGGCTCAGGCCTGAGACCAGGTCTGGCTCCAGAGTGGTGGTGCTTTGGGCTGGGGCTATGTCTGCTGCAGCGGGTCCAGGGTGGGAGAGGCTTGAGGAAAGGTGCACAGTGCTGCATGAATGTCTGCTGGGGCTGCAGCTCTGCCTGGCCCCTTCCCCGGCGCTGCTTCTGATGGGCTTCTTCTGGTGTGGACCAGTCTGCTGTAAAGAGGGGGTGGGGGGACTGTTATGCAGCTCGGTCCCGTGTCCCACTGTCCCTGGGCGTGCAGGCCAGGCCTGGCACAGCTGTGCTGCAGCCTGAGATGGGTTACAGAGCCTGTGGGCAGCTTGAGAATGCACCTGTTATCTGCCTGTGATGCCTTGCCTGCATGAACCAGGGGATGGCTGGTTCCCGGCACAGGCTTGCAAGGGACCGGGCAGGTCTGTGGAGGAGCATGGGCTCCGGTGGTGGTCTTTGAACTCTGGCTGCTGGCTGGGACTCTGCAGGGCTGCCTGGGAGTCTCAGCCCTGTCCCCTGCCAAACCAGGCGCCCTGTGCAGGGCCCGATGCTCCCAATGCAGCCATCGCCACTGGCTGCTTGGCTGCTGCAGGGTAGATCCAGAGCGCAGAGCCCATGGCCAAAGCAGAGCTGCTGCTGCATGGCAGGGGCTGGCCTGACCTTAGCGTGCTTAGGGGGCTGGAGCACTGGGCAGACAGGTCCAACGCCTGCCCCCCCCCCCCATGCTGTGCAGGAGCTCCTGGTCAGGAGCCGGCTGAAACGCTACCGATAGCTGCAGTCTGATCCCATGGTCTTGCAGCTGCTCCGAGGGCCTCACTGATGCTGAGCGAGCAGATTTCTAATGTGAAAGGCCAACACAGCTTTGGGCCAGGGGCTGCTACGATGTGACAGTTGCTAAAACCATCTCTACTGTAAGTGCTGCTGAAAACCCCGCTGGGAGCGTGCTGGCTGTGGCTGTGGGGAGGGCTGGAGCTTTTCAAGTGCTTTCACCTCCAGGTCACTGGTTCAAACTCAGCCTGGGGGTAGGGAGCACCGTAAGTGGATGTTATTCTTGATGGATGTGCAAGGGAGGAGGATTTAGGAGAAATTGGTCTGGGGTGTTTTCAGGCTGGCAATTTTCAGAGGAACAGACATCCCTGTTGTTAGAGCTAATTAGCAGCCTCGGTTCAGTGGGCAAGGGGTCGAACAAACCACGAGGCTGCTGGCTGAGCATCCTCGGCTGCTAGCAAGCTGGGGCTGGGGAGCTGCTCTTGACTGAGCTGTGGATATCTCCTTGCTCCCTGTGGGAGACTAACCCACTGTAAAGTATAAAGACAGCTTTTGGGCTCTCCAGTTCCCCTGTACCTCCCAGCAGATGCTGAGCTGAACCTCGTGCTCTGCTCCTGCTTCCCCCAGTGACCCATTCCTGAAGTGTGCTGTCTTTGCACCCAAAGCGTTTCTCTGGGGGGTGGGAGGCACCCTGATATCCTGTCCCATGGACAAGTGGTGCTGCAGTTCCTCATGCTTCCAGCCTGGCTCTGTTTACAACTGCCAGATTTGCTTCTGGATCTCCTAAGGGAGTCATTTCATAGGGCACCTTACCAGATTTGGGCTCAAATCTTAACTGCATACCAAAATCTGCAAATTTAACCTATACCAGCAGCAGAAAAAGGGTTAAAAATCACCTCCCTCATGACTCTCCCTGTAGCTGCAGACTTGAGGAAACAGCTTCTCTCCTTCCAAACAGGCTGCTCTGCCTTATAACCTCTCTCATGATTGGAACCGTGAGCCCGTCTCCTGCCGTGGCAGAAGAGGCTCAATGCTCCGAGAAGCGGGTGATGTGTGGGGCCACCAAAGCTGTGCTGATCAGGGATGGTTTAAGACTGGCTCCTGGCAGAGAAACCCCTTCTCTGTGTGCACAAGAGGTCATCATACAAGAGTGGGAGAGGGACACAGGCAGACGGGCTGAGAACCAGCTCTGCTGGCACCGGGATCCTTGGAAAAGCTCAGCAAAGCCCTGGCTTATTAAGGGGGGGGATAGAGAGCAACCTAGTGACAGCCACTGTCCAAAGAGCTTTCGGGGGGGGGATGAGAGGCTCAATGCTCCGAGAAGCGGGTGATGTGTGGGGCCACCAAAGCTCTGCTGATCAGGGATGGTTTAAGACTGGCTCCTGGCAGAGAAACCCCTTCTCTGTGTGCACAAGAGGTCATCATACAAGAGTGGGAGAGGGACACAGGCAGACGGGCTGAGAACCAGCTCTGCTGGCACCGGGATCCTTGGAAAAGCTCAGCAAAGCCCTGGCTTATTAAGGGGGGGATAGAGAGCAACCTAGTGACAGCCACTGTCCAAAGAGCTTTCGGCTGTGGTGGATGGAGAGCCGGCCAAGTCCGGAGGGCAGGGGCAGGACCCCGTCTGTCAGCACCCCGTGCCCTGACCACAGAGCAGCACAGGATTTAGCCTAGGTTTGACATCGATTCCTGCTTGTAGCTGCCAGGGGCTTCGCAAAACTCTGCTGTCTCACCTCTCTTCCCCTTCTACCTGCCTGTCACTGGGGATCATAAAAAGGCATCTTTCCTCCTCAATGAGGTGAGCGGGTGCCAGTTTTTCACTGGCTGAAGGAGGTTTCCACACCTGTTTGACTTTCGGTCCATCCCCTTCAGCTTTTTCCCCATAGGTCAGATCCCTGTTGCCTCTGTGGTAGCAGCGGGAATCGCTTCCACCACATCCCCCTCCCGCTCCCACCCTCCTCATTTTTCAGCACAGCTTTGCTTGAAACAATGGCACAGTCTGCAAGCCAGGAATGCTTTGCAGCACAGTGGAGCAGGGCCTCCTTCCCAATTCATCACTAATGCAGGAACGCCAAGCCCTTCCTGGCTGCAGTGAGCATGAGATAAAAGCTAAAAGAGGCATCAATAATTAAAAACCACTCAAAGCCGGTAAGTGCAAACAGGAGCCCACATACAGATCGAAGGCAGTGCCAGAGACGAGAATCTGTCAGCTGCTGGGTTGCTCTAAGGGCTCCCACATCTCTCTTGCAGGCGTTCCCCCCCCCAGTCCACGGCCAGGTGTCCCTGGCACAGTGGGACACAGCAGTGCAGGGGCTGCAGGCAGGAGTGCATTGGCTCTGCAATGTGCTAGGGGGCCCTGCCCAGGCATGGCAGGAGAGACCTCCCCCCCAGCTCCCGCATGTGGTTTGCCTTGCAGATGCTCTGGGGACACGTGGCTTTAAAGAGCAGGTGACAGCACTGGGGTCCTGGGGTTGCAGACCTGTGGTTTGGTCCCAGGAACGTGGCTGGAGAACCTTGATTTCTAGTACAGCTTTGGCTCAGCTCTTGCGGACTTGCTGCCAGTCCCTTCCCCCAGTTTCCCTTCTCATCTTATGTTCATTCCAGGACAGACTCCAGCCAGGATAAGGCCCCTGTTTGTGCCAGCTGCTGGTATAAATGGCCAGGGAAATTCATGTTGTCTGAGCGTGCCAGGAACTTGGCTCCGCCGAGTTCAAAGCTCCTCATTCAAGTATGCAAGTGAGAAGCTGAAAATGGGATGGTTTGGAAACATCATGGTCATCTTTGCTCCCTGCTTCCACAGACCAGGCAAACTGGTTGATTGAGTCCTGGTAGGCAAAATCTGAATCTTCTAAACCTGGTGACCCTGGTTCTGCCCCCCCTGCCCCATAATGGCCCTACTGACCCAAAAACCCTGCGTGCAAACCCACCACCACCTGGCTGCCAAAAAGCCCACCCAGGGCTGAGCTTGCCCATGTGCTTAAACACATGGGCCCTGAATCCTCATGCACCTGAAGAGACAGGTGCAGGGAAGCAGTCTGCAGAGAATGGGGCATCCCCAGCTGCTGAGAGGAGACTGAGGCAGTGCTGGGTCCCAGCTGTGCCCCCATCTCCCTTCCGATCCCTGTCAGTCTCC